ATTTTTCTGTTAAATGCATGCATCAGGATTTTTCTCTTGGAATAGTTGTTATTTTGCAAGCTGTAAACAATGTATTGTCAGCGTGCATCTATACATGCATATTCATTTAAACCGTTCTAATGATTTTACAGTCTGAATGAGAATGTGCATAGTTACTTCAAAACCATGAAATCCATAGTAAATGTTTAGTACTTGAATATTTATTCACTAGATAGTAACCTCACAATTAAATTATTATGTAAAGTCAGTTAAATAACAGCAGAAGTTACTGCATTAAGGCTCACTTTGCAAGGAAACCAATGACAAGGAAGCAGTGAAACACGCTAATAGATTATATGCTATAGCAATATATTGCCTTTTTATTGCTTTTCCACAGGCAGCAGATTCATGTATAGTTATTACTAGCTACATTATCTGCTACTTTTCTATCAAAAAAGATTCAGTCTGTTGAATCATTAATCCAATATTTATCATTCTTATTGAAAATCCACTAGTGTTAGCGCTGTATAAAATATTGACTTAAATCTACTAGTTTTGCTAAAGATTAAAAACATATTAACCTAAAATGCGCAGTATTTCTTAGGACATTTGAAACTATTCATTGTGGATGTTTGAAATGACAATATTTCTATGTTGTATGAGGAATTTTTTTTTTTTTTAATCTTTAACATATAGTAAGTGACCAGTGCCATCCTGATTTGAAGATGCTGAATGTTCATCCAGCTCATATGTGAAATTTTGATGTGTATTGCATTAGTTACTGAATATCAAGAATAAAATTTTTGCTCATACATAGAGTGTAAAATGGGATCTTTTGTAGCAGCACACGGCCTGTTTAGAATGATATAACAGGCGCTGAATGTTCACATATCAAACAAAATGCCATCTTTCTGTAGAAAAGAGGTGTCAAAAAGTTTCTTTGTACCTTTAACGCATGTGATTATGTAGTACAAAATGCAGAGTTTGTAAAATTTCTTGAATATACAGGCAAAAAATGAATAATTCAAAACAACTCATAAGTTCTACATTCTATTGTATCTTTTATAACGCAGGCAGAAGATAGCATTGTGTTCCCAGTAGAGCTGAATTTGCACAAGTTACACCTCTGAAAATGCCAGATGGTCTATGGTCTACTTTTGAGAGCTGTCACATATGTAAAGATTTGAAAAAAGAAAGACAGCTGAATGAGAGCAGTGGATCATTAAAGAGAGAGTGAGAGTCCCTGGGTATCACTGTGTTTTAAGAAGCATTGTGTCGTTCCCCATATTACACCTTTTTTTTTTAAGATATACACAACCTTTAAAAAATAAGGTAAAAATATTTCTGTTTTAAACTGAGTGGTTGTGGCTTAGTCTTGGAATTGTCAATTGCTTTTGTTCTTTATGCTAGAATGCGGTCATATGGTTCCTAATTGGTTTCAAGTGTGTTTTAACCATAAGATTCAGGTCTCCCTAGTGCAAAATTATCAATAAAGTTAAAATAAATTTAAATTGAGATAACTAATCCATTTGGGGTTTTATTCCATTTTGATTTGACCTGCGTATCACATGTGAATACTGTAAAGCCAGTCAGCTAAAAAGTTGTATGTTAATGCTAAAAGGCTGAAGTAAGACTACTTTGGGAACTGGATTATTTAATAAAAAAATAAAAAAAATAAAACCAAAACAAAACTCCAAAAACCCATAGTAAAAATAATAATAAAAGCAAAAACTGTAAGTGTTTAGATTCTTCAAGACTTCCCATTCACCCACAGTTTGACAGAAACACACCTAATTTTGAAGACTGAATTTCAGAAAATTTGTCAAGTTACTGTGTTGTAGCAAAGCACCAAAAATATACAAACAATTGTAAGCTGCCACCACCAATTTAGCTGGCTTGGAAAAGGTCATAACTGTCAGTTTTAGAAACTTGCATGTCCAGACATACAGAATTTTTAGTATAGTCTAGTGCTTTTATCTATTGAGGAAGGTTAACCCCTCCCCCAGTAATTCTAGGTTACTGGTACAACTCTACCAGTCCACACTTGGGAATCATAGGCAGCTCAATGTAAGGAAATACCACTACATGGAATGTGAAAACCACTGTTCATTAATAGTACAATTTATGTTTGAGTGGGGTAATGAAAATAAAGCTATGGGGAGCTATGGCAAAGAAACTGAATTCTAGAGAGTAAAATTGTGATTCCTGATGTTGCCAAAGATTTTATTTTTCACTGTGGTTAGGTCTACACTGACTGTTTTTAAAATGGAAGAAATACCTTTTGATTTTTAACAAAATTAGTTTTGCACATACATGGAAGGATGATCTACACAAAGGTTCCTGGTAGTATACTTCTAATGAATCCTATTCAGGTAAGAGTAAGCTCCCGAAAAATTTGGTTTGGGGCCTTTACGAAAGTCTGTAGATGTTAACAGGATATATGCTACAGAGAGTTGAAAGAAAAAGAAAAAAAAATGAAAGAATTTGAAAGTGCCATGTTTATGCTTCTGTTCATAGGTTTTGCAAACACTAATACATTGAAAGGAGAAGCAGTTTCAATATTGCCAGTGAAAATTTTTTTGGGCAGTGGTTAGTTCTTCAGGTGTAAGGTATCATTGTTCTAATGTTCTGTTCACTTGGAGGTTCGAGAGCAGTTATTGCTGGTGATGGAAGGAAATTATCTTTGTTTTCCCTGCAACATCTCTGGGGAGGCTAAAGCATAAATGTTTCCCCCAACCCTCCCTTTCTTTCCTGCAACACAAAATTATCACTTTTGCCAAGCAGATTTAATCAGGGTCACTCTGACATAGACAGATGCAGGCAGTCTAGGTCTTAAGATCTTCTTAAAATCTTAGTTGCTGTGAATAAAAAATTCAGATGGCAAGAAAAAACAAATTGGTTCATATTTAAACTGTTATGAAAAATATCCCATTTTGCCTTTGAATGTGACCAGGACTTAAAGTTTAAGATTTGTCTGAACTTTAATCTGGACAGGTGTCATGGGTTAACCCCAGCTGTCAACTAGCACCACCCAGCTGCTTGCTCACTCCTCCCCCCAGTGGGATGGGGGAAAGAATTGGAAGGGTAAAAGTGAGAAAATTTGTGGGTTGAGATAAAGACAGTTTAATAGGGAAAGCAAAAGCTGTGTATACAAGCAGAGAAAAACAAGGCATTTATTCACCACTTCCCATCGGCAGGCAGGTGTTCAGACATCTCCAGGAAAGCAGGGCTCCAGCACACGTAACAGTTACTTGGGAAGACAAATACCATTGCTCCGAACATCCCCCCTTCCTTCTTCCCTCAGTTTTACATGGTGAGTGTGATGTCATATGGTATGAAATATCCCTTTAGTCAGTTGGAGTCAGCTGTCCTGGCTGTGTCCCCTCCCAACTCCTCCTACTCACTGGTGGGGTGGGGTGAGAGGCAGAAAAGGCCTTGACTCTGTCCAAGCACTGCTCAGCAGTACTGAAAACACCCCTGTGTTATCAACACTGTTTTCAGCACAAATCCAAAATAAAGCCCCATACTACCTACCTAGAAGAAAAATAACCCTATTTGTCCAAAAGTTTGGTCCCTTGTACCTGAAGTGATCAGTGGAGATGTTTCTTTTATGGGAAGCTAACTATAATTATCTATACATACTGTTATCTCCGGCATGAAGCTATACCGTGAAATCATCTGAAAATGGATGTGAATCATCTGAAAAGAGAATGAACTGCAGCATTGTTTTTCTTTACTGCTGGCAATGTCTGATCTCTCTTCAATTGAGTGTTCAGTAGAATCTGGGCTTTTTACTTGACATTAGATTTATAAATAGTTGAAGATTGGACTGTCTGAAAACCTCTTTATGTCCAAGCATGATACAGCAGTGTTTTGATTAGGAGAGGTGATTGGGCTGATGCTTTTTGATTATGAAATCTTGTTGTGTTACTATGTGTGTAGTTTAATTAGTTTTTGAATGAAGTCTGCATTTTTTTTTTTTTTTTAAATAAGAATCTTTAATTGGAAACCACTTTTTTCATTACAGAGCTTTACATAAAAAATCTTGCATCTTATCTTTTTTTTTTTTTTTTTTAGATACAGACTTTAAATACATAGACAGTGTATTTTCCATGTTATTAAAAATATGCTCCTTTATGATACAGTAGCTCAGCAAAGAATGGTCAAGGTTTTTGACCCTCTCATTAGAATTGGTTTATATCATGTACTCTGGGAGTCTTAACCAGGCCTCTGCAGATTCCTGCCTCGATAGTTTTGCATTTTTGTTCTTGTGACAATTTCAGTTTGTTTCCATTAAAGTCCTAACTGGCCCATTACAGCCATTTTAAAAATGGTGATTCTGAATTGAGGAATATGTAGCGGGGGGGCTCTGACTTGCCACAGCTGTGCAGTATTTGGATGCATGTTCCACCTAGTTGCTGGGTCACCTCCTCCACAAAACCAGATTTGGTTGGTTTTGTTCTTCCCAGCAATCCATGATCTTTATGAATTAAAGCTCAAAGTGTTGTTAGTTACCTGGATACTCCTATTCTTCTCTAATATACTGGTGTGTGGTGGCTGAGTGTTGAGGGGCCCCTAACATGTCACTCAGGTTATTTTCTGAAGACTGGCAGGTTGGCCAACCTACAGCTTCACATGTGTTACTTCAGTCTGTATCTTCCCTCCCATGCCTTTTTCTCTCATTCTGTTACATTTCTCCCATTCATTTGGCTCCCTTACCTAAGTTTATCTCCGTTTTGCTACTTTTTCTCCCATTCTTGATCTTCTCCTTCAAATTGCTTGCCTTATTCTTTCAGAGCCTTGCAAACCTTCTGTGTAGTGCCAAATGGGGAATCTAGGCCTCATGCACTCATAAGGCACTTTCTGAATGAATATTTTTGATCTGGAAATATGTTTTGCTGTCTTGTTTTGATGAGGGAATGTTAACTTTTCAAGCTATTCTTTCAAGCTATTCTCCAGTCTGGCTTAAAGTTTTTAGTTATGAATTTACAATTTAAATTAACCCTTTCTTTCCTTTTAAGCACAACCTCAACGTTTGCCTCAGCCAAATACTTCATCACTGGAAAGGGGTGAGGAAGAAAGTGACAAAATCCAAAATGGCCATGCAGGTCTGAGGAATGGAAGTGGAATTCACAATGGGATCAAACACGTGCCTGCAGACAGCAGAAAACTTTCGGCTCCTGTTTCAGAAAAAATGCACAGAAAAATTCAGTCCACCTTTTCTGTCAACAGCAACAGCAGCAAGAAGAGTAAAATAAGCTCTGCATTTTCTCAAAAGCCAGGTACTTCACCTGAAGGTAAGCAGAAATTCTTATTAAAAACCCCCAAACTGAATAAAGACTAGCCAAACCCCATTCTCACTAATAATTACACAATCAACTGAAAATAATTGAAGGGCATGACTCATGCTCCCGAAGCAAATAGAAATCATTGCGATAAAACACAAGTTACTTCCCCAAAGCAAAATATTAAGTATTTGAACGAAATTGAAGAAACTGGAGATTTCTTGCTTTCAAACATTTGACCAACACTCTGATAATGTTTTAGTCTCTCTAGTTAGCATTCTGAACTAATAGAAACTCCTGTCAACATTGTCACGTATAAACCAGAAAACCATGTTAAAGCATAATAAATACTTAAATCCAGTAATGGCAGGCTCCATTGAAAATATTCTGATAGTAGATATTCTGACTAGAAATGAGGACTGAACACTAGATAATAAAATTTGGCACAGTGCTTCAATGTTAAACATGCCTCATGCTACATTTGGGCTGTAAATAATTTGCATGAAAAAGCTTCATACTCCCTATGCACAGCTTAAATAAGCAAAAGTAAATAATTTACCTTATGTTTTACCTATGTGTGTGTTTTCACTGCTTGCAATTATGCTAATGGTCCTAGAGTTCTCAAGCCTCTCCTCAATCCGCTGTCTTCCCATTAGCACTAGTATACTCAATGGGCTTTGCTCCTGCCTGTTACAAGGGTGCAGAGGCTCTATAATTTTTATTGGTTTGAGGCAGGTGTGGATGTGACTGGTTGAAAAAAACTTGGAGGGGTGGATACAGACACAGATTCTTAGAGAAATGTGAAACAGTACTGTTCAGTGAAATGGGGAGGATTCTCAGCCTAGATGAAAGGAAGAGGGATCAGAAGGACTGCACGTAGTGGCCTGAATGAAGCCTACTGATGTCAGTGGAGTGATTTCTCTTGACTTCAACTACTTCAGTCAAACATACTCAGTGAATCTGTATAGTAATATCAAGAACAGTTTCACTTGGACTGTGCCAAGGGCTGGTCCTCCTTGCTGTGGTTTATTTTCATATTTATCTTCAAGAACCTACTGTTATTTTTCTGTTGCACTTTTATCTCTTTCTGTTATGTGAAATCCAGTTCACACTCCAGCCTGATATTTTTCTTATATATTGTTCCTTTGTGCAGTATCAAAAAACTAAATCGAGAGACCTAGATCTCTTCATATGACTGGTGCAAAGCTCAGGCATCTGAATTTAAGAAATTCAACCTCTTAAAAAAAATGAAAGGGTTCTAAAGAGATGGTGCCTGCCTTGTTCATGCACCTTTACAATTGTTTATGGCAAACATTCATTTTTACTTCTAAAATTATATTGTAGTTTTTTGTAGAATATGGATAATTCTGTTGTCACACTGTCTAACTTACATATTTTCAAAGTTCAGAAATACAGGGTGATCCTTACTATCACATGTCGTTTCTTGAGTCATATATATTATTCATTATATATATTCAGTATACACATCTAACCTTGTAATGTTCTCATTTTGAATATGGGAATTTGGATAAGTGCTCTGAATAGCTTTACCCACACTGCTGATGTCTTCTGCTCTGTTTTCTGTTAACCAGTCTGGGTGAAACACAAGTTTTATTGTGGAATGATTGAAGTATATCTAGGTTATTGTGGTATACCTACAAGGGAATATTTGTTTTTAAAAATAATTTTATATTTTTGAAATTTATTTTGCTTTACAGTTCTCTGGTAGACATATTTAATATTTGTGTCTACTCAGCTTCATGCACACGTATACAAGTCTTATGACAGTTTCTTCAGCATTTCAGTAATTTACCCCATGGGGCTGCATAGGGGAACTATAGGCTATACATAATACTCTAATCAAGTTGTTACCTTGCAGGAATTATCAATATATACTTAAGTTGTTCTATCATCCCTTAGTGTTTTTATAAGATGCAGAATCAGACACACTGGCAATGGTCAGTTGAAATATCTAAAATAACACAAAGAAGAGATCACTATATCTCTATTACAGCTCTGGCACCCCTCAGTGCAAGGACATGGACCTGTTGGAGTGGGTCCAGAGGAGGGCCACAAAGATGATGAGGGGGCTGGAGCAGCTCCTGTATGAGGACAGGCTGAGAGAGTTGGGATTGCTCATCCTAGAGGAGAGGAGGGGAGTGGAGGGGGCAAGCTCTGGGGAGATCTTATAGGGGCCTTCCAGTGCTTAAAGGGAACTTATGGGAAAGATGGGGAGGGAGTTTTTATCAGGGAATGTAGTGATAGAATGAGGGGTAATGGCTTTAATCTGAAAGAGGTGAGATTTAGAATAGGTATGAGGAAGAAGTTCTTCACTGTGAGGGTGGTGAGGCACTGGCACAGGTTGCCCAGAGAAGCTGTGGCTGCCCCCTCCCTGGCAGTGTTCAAGGCCAGGCTGGACGGGGCTGTGAGCAACCTGATCCAGTGGAAGGTGTCCCTGCCCATGGCAGGAGGGTGGAACTAAATGATCTTTAAGGTCCCTTCTAACCCAAACCATTCGATTCTATGATTTAAGGAAAAAATGATTTATCCATAACTTAAAATTAATTGTGTTTATTAATTTAAGAAATGTTAACTCCTTATGACTACTTCTGGAAGGCTACACTTTAAAAACTTGATGTAATTAGCCAGGTTATTGTTCAAAGGAGTTTAATTGCATTTAAACCAGCAATATATATACTTGATGAATACATCTAACTATATAAAGCCAGAAGAATACATTAGTAAGCCTTGTGAGTGAGAATTGAATAGACACTTTCAAAATGGTATACAGAAATTAATTTTAACCAACTTCTACAGCTTCTTTGTATTATGAATCATATTTTTGTGGGCAAAGAGGCATTTTTGTGAGCAGTTGTATCTTCTGATTCAGTGGCATTTCTGTAGAAACTATTGAAAAGGTTTACAGGAAGATGGAAAAGATAGGAAATAGTTGGAAATTATTTACAACATTGCTTGACTACTTGGCTTTGCTTTAACTTGTACTATATTAACCTCATAAGCCATTGGTTACTGCTGAAAAGCTGCTGGGTTTAACTTTACTTGAAGGTATGCCTTTGTGTTTGTGCACATCTATACAGTAATAATCTAACTTGTATGCAGTTTCTTACGCACCCTTATGAAGAAAGAGACAAATTATATTAATTTTTGTACTGTGAGTATTGCATAATCAATCATCTGAATTAACTCAGCTACTTCAATTTATTATATCATCCAGATAATTGTAGTAGAAATAAATACAGGTAAACTCATATGCTTTCAGATATTCCAGTTCACTTTAATTTTGCTATTCCTTATGGAAAACCTTGGAGTTTATAATCTAATTTATAGCTTTCTTTTTTGTTTTTAAACCTGAAAATATATGCCAATGTATTTTTACTTTATCTGCCTTGTCTTCCACTATGAGTGCTCAGCTCTATTGCCAGTCAGGAGAATAACTGGTTTTAAGTGAAGCAAAGTGGCCAGAGAAAATAAATAGATTATGTCCTCAGAAGGAAGAAAAGTGAAAATTCTTGTCATCAAGCTGCATTCAGACTATAGAAAAGAGAAAATATTTTTCACTTTTTCTTATTTCCTCCCAAAAGCTGCATTCTTGTTTCTTCTTAAAGATGTGAACATTTCTGGAGCACCACACCTATTTGTAATGCCAAATAAGTGCTGATCTGATAGATATTTTGCTTTAGAACATCTTATCTATTGACAGAACAGAAAAGTAGTGCTGGAGGTGGGATAGAATCAAGAAACTTTCAGGTTTGCCACCCATTCTGCACCAGAGAATATTTGGGTTCATGCTTACTTAAAAGGTTAGTAAATGAAGCATACTGCTTCATATACTACAGACTTTAGTATATATACCAGAAAGCTAAATGAAGTCCAGTATTATTTTACTCAGAATAGCACATCTTCCCATGAAGGTTAGTACTGCTCCTGTTAGTATCCAAAGTACTGGACAGCCCTAATGCAAGCTATAAAGCCCCCCAGTCCCCCACCCCACCAAAATCCGCCCCCCCATATTTAACAACTCTTTTATTGATTGTTCCAGCTGTAAACTCCATTTGTGCTGTAGGTCACATCTTGTGAGTTTTTGGAATTTAAATTTTATTGGAAGTACTTAAAAAGTAACAGACATTTTGGTAGTAGTAGTATAAAAGCTTTAAAAACTGCCTTTTAAAATGAGCTTGTAGTGTATGGAGACACGTCAGCATTCCAGAATATGCTGTTTAGAAACTCTTTCACATCCAGTGAGGCTTAGGAGGGTGTGAGTGCACTCACCAGCTCTGCTCTTCCTCTGCATCTATTATTAATCCATATTGTCCCTGAAGAAATCTTACTCAGCTCCGTGACTTACACTACAAAAAAAGCCAAAGGAATTATGAAATAGTAGGAATGTCTCTCTTAAAAAGCAGTTTTAAAACACTATTTCAGTTCTAAAGATTTTTCAGGAGGACTGGATAGGTTTCAGTGCATACTGGGATTAAAAGATTTTGTTTTAATTCAAATAAATTTTAATAATATTTTAAATTATTGATGTCAGAGGTGTCACGGTTCTTCTAAAACTCTGGTATGTAAACCACTAGCAAAGAGAATTGTCACTCTCTTGCACCTGTTATGTGTAGTGCAGAGAAATATCCTGGAAACCTGAAAAAGCAATTGTAAATGAGTAAAAAGAAGGCAGTCTAGTTGCTGTGTTTGGAAGCAGTGGTGCCTTTCCAAAGAAACTTAAAGAGGAGAGGTGGTCTAAATGAGGTAACAATGAGTCAGCTGAACACTAAATCTAGATGTTAAGAAATGAAGAAAAATGGGTAACTGAATTACATACGTATGTGTATCAGAGTAGTGGACAGTAAGTAATAATGACATATGCAGAGTTGGTAGAGGAAAGGGAACAAGAAGCTGGGCAGTGGGAGGAATGGAAGAGGTAAGAGGGTGGAGGGGACAAAATGAAGTAGGCACTAATTCCTTTGTAAAAGCCAAACCAAATTTTCCTACCAAAA